CCGCACCACCCCGAGAAGCGCAGCAGTGCAGGCTCCAGCGGTGCCACCAACCAGCCAGCAGCCCAAGCTGCTGCAGTGCTGGGGGAGAAACTGGGGGGCCAGAGAAGTTGCTGGCTGGGGCCCGTCCTGGGACATTAAGTTAAAGGCACCAATGGGAGAAGTGGCGTGGCTAGAAAAAGAACCCAGAAATCCTGCTTCCCAGAATCCTTTCCTTTCCCCCACCCGTCCCACCCAGCACCAGTTCTCACAGTCCTCACAGAACTGAGACTGGAACCCCCAAATCTAACCAACAGACTCACTGCCCACCTACAGGAAAGGAAAGAAGCCAGAAGTTCGAACACCCAGTTCCCTGCCCTAATCCAGTGCCCCTACCCTCCCCGAGAATCAGCCCCCACCAGTCCCCCTGCTCTAACCCAATTCCTCACCTCTCCCTCAGAGCCAGGCACCCTCCAGATCCCTGCTCTAACCCAATACCCCACCCCCAGAGCCAGGCATCCCCACTCTAACACAATGCCTTTCCCTTCCCACAGAGCCTGGGACATAACCTAGCAGGGCAGAGGGTAATGCAGTGACTCCATGGGAGAAGCCAACCCCCACCCCCCACATCGGACCTGCCCTGGGTCTCACTGGAGCCGCCACCACTGCTGCAGCCACATGCTTTGCCTGCCAGGCACTGGGGCACATGCACAAAGTGATTTTTAACAGTCCAGGTGCATGACTCTGAATGTTCAATTTGACAGGCACATGCCCCACTCCTCCCCAATCCCCTTTACAGGGCAAAATTCTGGACATTTTTAACCATTTAAAAAACCCAGCTGGCCGGAGATTTAATAAGTGAAAAAGAGGACATATGGTAACCCTAGTTTCGGTCAGCATAAGGAAAGCAGCAGATCTGAAATAGAATATTTTACGTTCACAAAAATCCAGAGGAGTGCTTCTCTCATTTAAGACATATCATGCTGCAGGTTTTTAAATCTATTTATTTTTGTTAGTAAGTGAAAAGGTCAACAAACATTCAATAAATATTGCAGGAAATATGGCTGCAGTACTAGAGCTAGGAACACAACTGAGCATATGCAGGCATTTAGGAAAGTTTATGTAACATTTCCTTTGCAAAATAAATACACCTAATTTCCAAAACATCACTAATAATGTCATCATTTGCAAACATTTCTTGGGAGTAATCTGCCAAAATTACTAAAACTACTCTAGATTTTTAGCAGACATTTTATACAGGTTCCTAATATAATATTTTGCCCCCTCTAGTATCTATACTGTAGTACAATTGTGCTTGAAGACCCCATTCAAGTAGTGTAGCTCCTTAATAGACATTTTTTTCCCCAAACAGCTAACAATAAATTAAATTTTTGGAGATTGCCTAGCTCCTAGAGCTGGAAGAGATTGGTCATTAAGACCAGTCCCCTGCCTTCACAGCAAGATCAAGTACCATCCCTGACAAATTTTTGCCCCAAAAGGCCTCCACAAGGTTTGAACTCACAACCCTAGGTTTAACAGCCCAATGCTCAAACCACTGAACTATCTCTCCCTGCAACAATCTTAGGGCTAAATCTTAAAGAGATTTACAGATGTGTTTTTTTAAATCCATGTGCTTAAAGATAAACATGTCTGGAAGCAGAAGTGCATTGAGCTTTTGTGCTAAGCCAGAACAAGGGGGAGGGGCTTCCCACCTCTTCTACTTCCACTAGGTTTAACAGCCCAATGCTCAAACCACTGAACTATCTCTCCCTGCAACAATCTTAGGGCTAAATCTTAAAGAGATTTACAGATGTGTTTTTTTAAATCCATGTGCTTAAAGATAAACATGTCTGGAAGCAGAAGTGCATTGAGCTTTTGTGCTAAGCCAGAACAAGGGGGAGGGGCTTCCCACCTCTTCTACTTCCAG